TCTCTGGGAGAAACCCCCCCCCCCCCCCCCCCCCCCACAAAAATAGGAAGGGGGTAGAGGCCAATGTCGCGCGTTTGGGCAGGAAACGACTGCTAGGGAGGCTAGTTGCTTGGTGATGGAACGGCGTGAAACGTTTTCAGAAGAATTCGATGGTTATAAGGCTCTTTTTAATTGTAAGTCGCGTTTGTATTTCGTTATCCTCCATTGTACATTCAAAGTTACCACCTCTAACTAAATTACTCGACGCAAAAGGATTGACTTAGCTTTTATCCAGTACTGCCGATCGAAAGTTAACGGTGGACCGTGTGTTTCAAGTGTTATTTTTATTATTAGGAATAATCTGTTTTTCGTCTTGCGGTAAACTGTATAGAACTTGTGCCGTTTCGTCTTTGCAGGAATCTCGGCGAATAATTCAAGAATTGGAAAATAATGCTAAACAACTATCAAAGGATCTAAAGGAAGCGAATGAGGAAAAAGCTGTAAGTATTCCTTGAAATTAATTCATTGGACTATTATTACAGGTAACCACGACATTGTTTGGATACTCTACCTTCCAGCGCTATTCATCGTTGGTAATTCAAGGTTTATAGCTTCCTCGTTTTCTTTATTTTGTTAAATGGCGGCCGCTATACTAGGTTCAATGAAACATCTTCCAGAAGTTTGGTTGGTTGATTTTTCGCGCGAAATGTTATTTTTCTTAATATTTGAATTAAATTACGGTCTACGTAAGCAAACTTTCATTATCGCTTGAGGGCGGACAGTGCAGTTCTGTGGTGAAGAATAGTTCCGACTTTCGTTGTTTATCAATTTCAAAATGATTCAAATGATGTAATAAATATTTATCGATTTATCTATTTCCCCTGAAATGGCAGTTCGCAATTGTGTGAACCGACTTGTAGAATTAAATTAAAAAAGCGAGGAAACTCGTTTACAAAGATTTAATTCTAACGCAGTTCTCTGAATGTGCTCTTCGCGTGTTTTAATATTTTATTGGAAACACGACCGGCGTTGTTTTTGAGTACTGTTTTGGAAATACAGGTTTGGTCACCCGGTCACCTATTCTCTGCATCGGTGAATGTTACTCAGTACCTCAAAGTGTTGCTGACTTGACTTCATTTCATCTCAACCAGGGGAATATTCAATCTTGAAGAGCTACATGAGCCCGCGGTCCTCGTTGGAGTAGTTGCCAAGCAACACAGCTCACATTTGCATGACAAATTTTCGAGTGCTCTATATTTTGCCACCGTCTTGTTTGTTAGACAGACCAAACCATCATTTCATATACTGGAGACCTGCACCATTTCAATGTTCTTTATAATTGGCAAGACGAGACAGTACATAAGCTTATATAAGCAACACTAATGTTATGCCTATAGCTTTAAAAACAGAAGACGCAGATTACTGAGTTCGAATTGAAACTTTTGTATTGGTGCTACCCAACTGGGACATTGCCTTGCAGTCATATTTATGCTGGACCTTTGTGCGATGTTTTTTCAGGGTGTTTAGACAAGTCGTTGGCGTTCGTTCGTTTTACCAAAATAATGTAACTGTAAATTTAGCATGTCTGGCAAACATTGGCACTTTATAAGCTTAAGGTGAAAATATAATCTGCTAATTGCAAAGTGCCCTACCAAGCGCGTCATTTTATAATGCGGTTATTGCAGGGAAATAAAATAAAGTTTACTTTTAATGATATTCGGCTGTATACCGTGTTAAATATTTAGTTAGCGGTTGCGCAAACTTTTGAGCGTAATAAGCTTTTTTCACCTGGCGATGCGTTAATAGACCCCTGTCTAGTTGTAAAACAAAAGTAAAACAAAAAGTTTCACTAAGAAATTTGCATACTAGTATTTGTTCAAGCGACCTACGTGGTTCTGTTTGCTTACAACGAAGCCTTCGCTCACGAAAATATCTCTTCTTAGCTTTGAACTTCACGGAGTATTTAAAGTTTTCACCGAGTGGTGGTTTATTGCGGTAAAGTGTGTTGTTTAGTCTGCCATTTTCGCACTTCTACTTCGGATTGGTTCGGAGTTTCGTTAACTCGTATGTTCTGTCCGTGTTGTGGACTCATGTAAATTATGTTTTGTTTTTAAGAGGTTATCACTCGTTTCAGCTTAGTTTAGGGTAACTCTTTCCTTGATATGCATACTTTTGTTGTTGGGAAACAAATTATAAAGCAAACCATCTTTTATTACAACTCAGAGAGGAAAAAATTACAGAACTTCTGTTATTGCAAATGAAAGCAATATAAATGTACATATCAGACTGTTCGTTTAATATGCGGTCAATTATGTGTGTGCTAGCGGCGTTATGCCGCGTTATCTGTCATAATTTAGATTAATGTGTTACGATTTTTTTGTGATTTAGTATTGACACTAATAGCGACTTCAACTTGTATCTCATTTCGTCAGCAAAACATTTATTGCACCACATTGTTAACTGCTTGTTTTGGATTTTTTTCCCTTATTCAGCATCAAGAAGCCGAGATCGAAGAGTTATTCAGAACACAGGACGATTTACAAGCTAAATACAACGATGAATTGAGAGAGAAAAAGGTAAAATATTATCCGATGAATTTCAGGTTATGAAAGTGTCATTTTTTAGATTGCGTGACGTTGTACCTAAATTTGCATTGTCGCGTCGGTATGCTAATCCATTATGGGTCACGCTATTGGTCCTATTGTCAGCGGTTGTTATGTGGTACCGCAAAATTCCGGTTATAAGCCTTGGGTTTATACAGCTTCATAAGGGTTTTTGTGGGCTTATAAAAGCGGCCTAAAAGCGGAATAGTTTTTTTTTTTGTTGTTTTTGTTTTGTTTTTTTCAGTTTACATGGTCCTATAAGCGTGGTGCAGAGCTTAAACTGGAGTTTTACGGTTTTTGTCTCACGGAGTAATACATTGCTTTATTTAGATTTTCCTATGTATAGCCCAGTTATGTTCAAAGACCTTGATGCCTTTTGCCTATAAGTTTATTTTATTTAAATTGTTTATCGTATTTTTTCTTATAGCTTTTCCAACCACCTTTCAAAGATTTAGTTAGAGTAGTGACTCGATTTGCGGGCAATTTTATTTTTAACAAACTCCCCAAATTTATGTAAGGGAATATGAATTTTCAATTAACCTTTGGCCTTTGAAGTATGCAGTAGTTTCCTGTTCACGCTATCATCGAGTGTCAAGGGAATATTTCGAAGCAATTAGACCATTCAGTCCGGAGTAGGATATAATTTCACTTCTTTGAGGTCCCACGGAATGAATGTACTTATCAATAGATGTCAAAGACTAAAAGTTCAAAGATCTCTGTAAGATAAAATCCTTAAAAAGCTTGGTGAAAGCGTGCAGGAACAGTGAACAGTGAATACTGTTTATGCCTGAGGTAAGAATGATTTCGTCAGTCGTTTTATGTTACTGTGCCATGTGGGACGATCTGACGCTCTCGTGACTGGCCTGCTTGTATGTTTGACTTGTTTATGCAGATGTAGCCGCCGTTTCTTCCCCAGGTATTCGATTCTACCAGGAAATAACATCTTTTTACTCCTGTATCTCAATTGTGTCCTTCTAGTTCGATCATTGGTGCGATAAGTAACCGCATGGCGGGGTAGCGTTGAAATCCACTGAATCTGTAAATCTTCCTTCCTCCCGCCGTTGTTAAACTGAGTAACTTGTTCACCGTTCCAGTGTTGTATTCCGCTATCTCAAAATATTTACAAACAACCCTTTAGTAAAGCCCTGACTTCTTCAGTGTTTGTGTCATTGTAGGAGCTGAATGATTACATTGAACAACTTCACGAAGAATTGGATGATGTACATGTTCAGTTTGATGTATTGTCGAAGGAACACAAGGTTAGTGGTAGAATACCTCACGGCTTAATTCCTTGAGTATTTGTTTTCTTACCGTCTTTGAGGGTTGATAATGAAGTCTTAGCAACAGCGGTGTAGCCATTTCAATATAAAAGCGGAAGTTCTTCTCGGCTTCCAACAAGCCATTTCATTGTTCGTGACTATTACACGCACTATATAAACTAATGACCCATCTTTAAAAAGTGTCGCCTATTTAGTTCGTTGTTTGAAATCCCACGGTCTTAATCTTCCCAATTCTTAAACATTTTTTTGGTCGGTTTAAGTTTCTTATATTGTACCTTGGTCGACTGTGTTGAGGTAATGCTGTATATTTTGAAAGAATGACTTAGAATAATTACTCTTAATACATGTACGCACTATACGGCTCCTGTAGAACGATTATGTGAAATGCAAGGGAGTTGTATCCCTTTGAGGTCTGCAGGTAGGCTACCGTACATATGGTGCCGGTTTATTGTTTGGCTACCTGTGAACTGCACACAACGATTAAATGTAAATCATTGAAGTTGCTCCGGCTGAGTAAATGGCGTAGGAAGTCGCTCTATTGACACATGTTCAAAGTTTTAAATCTCATTACTGAATTATTTTAATGGTAGTTTTCAGGATGCTGCCGTGATGTAGTCCATCAGGTCAATTTCTCCTAGTTGAAAACAACAGTACATGTATATTTGTTTATTGAATTCCCATGTCTGCTTATTAATGTATTGATACTGAAATATCGTTTTGTTTAATGATGTAAAAAAATACTCTGAAGTAAAATAGTGACAACATAGATTTTTTTTTCCTTTTTGATGTTAAGGATTTATCTGGAAGACTAGCGGAAATCCAATCTGGTCAACTGTCCACTGAGTCGCAACATTATCAACAGCTTTCTGAACTCCAAGAAATTAATACTGGCTTACAGCAGGTGAGTCACGCAACTTACGCATGTCACGGAACACGAAAATGAAAATAAACAGTGAAAAATTAAAGGAATGTTTGTACAGACTACAGATTTTAAAGCATAATGCGTCACGCAACAGACGTGTGTCATGGAACACGAAAATGAATATTAATAATGAAAAGCTAAAGGAATCTGTACAGACTACAGGTGTGGAAGCATAATGAATCACGTAACGAACGTCTTTTGAGTCACGCAATAGACGAAAATGAAAAATTAACAACGTAAAATTAAAGGAATGTGTTTCCAGGAAGGAAGTAAGGTATTTGTATTTTTTTTGGTTCAAAAAATTGCTGTGCTTTTATTTGAAAGGGAATTTGTATGTGAAAATTTAAACAGGATATGAGAACATTGCATGGTGATACTTTCAAACCAATAATTTATAAGCAGAAGCGTCATTGAAGGAAGATAAGGACTCTGAAAATACTACAGTGACACAAGAGACGATCATGGTCTCTTGTTTGACATCATACAGTACATGTGAATCGGAGAGGGGTGATCGTGTAAGGAATCTTGTGTCCAAGAGTCACAGAGTCGACAGCCTATCTTTTGCTGTAACTGATAAACAACTGAAGCTTCTCAAAGAAAGGGCGACGTTTCTTTCCAAATGAAATTGGCTTACTATTTTTGCCCTTGCGACGTTAAAAAAGCTGTTTCTAAACTTTCTCTGCTTTTCTAATTTTTGTTTGTTTCCTGGCAGGATAATCAAAACTTGAAGGAAACGGTCAGTACACTGAATACATCTTTTGAGGAAAAAGGAAGCGAACTTACTGAGGCATTGTGTGAACTTGAAGAAAGCAAGAAAGAAGCGGAAAAACTGAACTCCGAACTTAACGCGCTAAAAGAATCTCTTGTGTCAAAGGATAAAGAACTTGCGGAATTGAGAGAGAGATTGAACGTCTTTCATGTGGAAAAGGAGACCATGAGTCAGTCTGTGGGCCAACTGAGTGAGAACTTACAGGGATTGAGCAGCGAGAAGGAAGAGCTAGCCTTGACTATCGAGAGTTTGAACAAGAATTTGGAAGAGAAGGATAATCGAATAACTGAGTTATCAGCGAGTCTTGAACAGCAGAAAAATGAACTGGAGACGCTTAAGGAGAGTTTTAACGGTGTTTCCGAGAAGTTGGGAAGTAAAGAGGAAGAGTTTAAGAAAGCTGTTAAAGCTGTGAAACAACTGAAGCAGAATTTACTAAAATCGCAAGAAAAGGTGAAAATATTGAGCGATAAACTCGAGGAAAAAGAACAAGAAGGAAGAAAATCCACTGATAAATTAACAGCACAAGAGGAGGAATTCACCGCCCTGAAATCGAGCGTTGAAAAATGGAACGAGAGCGTTCAGGCCAAGGATGCTGAAATTGAAGATTGTAAAGAAAGACTTAACCAAAAAGACAAAGAGTTGGAGAACTTTCAAGAGGTTGTGAACAGTTTGAATGCTAAAGTGGAAGGAACCTCTATGGACTTAGCGACTTCAAAGGAGTTGAACGACAAACTCACGAAACAAATACAAAATTTGAAAGTCGAAGTTGAAACTCTGCAATCGAGTTTGCAAGAAAAAGGAGAGAATAATAGCAATGTTGAAGAGAAATTACGGGAGCAGTTAGAAGTGGGGGAAGATTTGAGGTCGAAAGTACGTTCGCTGGAAGAATTGATTAATTGTCACAACGAGGAGAGGGAGATGCTTGACAAGACTTGTAAACAACGAGACGAAACCATCGACAAGCTGAAGGAGGATGTAGAGCTACAAGCAAAAAATATAGCAGATTTTAACGAAAAAGCCGCGTCAAAGGACAACGAAATAAAGACTTTACAGGAATTTAACGAAAAATTGAATCTGTCCGTCCTAGAAAGGGAAGAAGAGAATGAGAGACTTCAGCTGGAGAGGAAAGAACTTTGCAGCAAGGTTCATTCTCTTAATGAAACAATTGCTTCTAAGGAGGAGGTGCTGCGAAAATTGAAGAAAAAGCTGGAGTCGTTTGAACAGCAAACTGCTTCTATAGATAAAGATATTCTTTTGAAAGAAGAAGAGGTGCAGCAGCTGAGAGCGTTGAATGAGGAAAAAGAACATTGTATCGCTGACGCGGAATCAAGAATGGAAGCTCAGCAACTGGAATTGAGCAAATTGCAAAATGAAATTTCCGATAAGAATCAAACGATTGAATACAAAGACGAAGAACTTCAGAAATATAAAGAAGCAATGGAGGAAAACGCTGCGCGAATCTCGTCCCTTGAAACGAGTATTCAATCACTGAACGCAGCCCTCGAAGCGAAAGCAATGGAGGTGAAAAATCTTGAGGTTCAGCTGAGCGAAAAGCGAACAGAAGTGGAGTCTGTGCAAAATGCCATGTCCAATTTGAGTAGCGAGATGGAATCAGGCGCTCGAGAAGTCTATGAGTTTACAAACAGGATAGAGGAACTACAAAAAGAACTGGAAACCATCGCGGAGGCTAGAGGTGAGTTATGAAGTTGTTATAAGTATGGGTAATCAAATGTTGATGAGTGAAATAAGGAAAATGAATAGGAAAATATCGAGAAATTTCGCGCAGTGGGAAGGAGTTTCTTTCCTAATGACTTAGGTTTTGAGTGGGCATTGTGCTCTGACTGGCTTAACTATTTTTCTTTAGATTTATCCAAACAGAAAAGGGTCCCTTTTCTTTCAGCCGATCAGATGTAACACCTGTTGCGTAGGCCATTTTACCGCGCTTTCTGTGGCGATTTTCCACGCTTTCCCATCAGTGATCAGTCGAAGATGCAACTTTTTGGTTGGGATAGTTTTCTTCACTGGACACATACTGGTTTCATTATTAGCTTGTCTTGAATTGCAGCTCAAACTTCTACGTCCAGTATCGTTTACCTCACTTACCTTGTCGTTTCTTTACATTGTACAGATGCATTGGAGAAAGAAAATAAAGAGAAAGATGATAAAATGAACAAGTTCAAACAAGTCGCGTTAAAGGCGAAGAAAGAGCTGGAGAATCACAAGAAACAGGTTTGTCTTTTGTACATGTTACTCGCGGATAGTTTGACAATTAAGTTATTAAATGAAATCGCATCATTTATTCTGTTGTCTTTTTATGTCTAGTGGAAGGATGAAAAGGACGAACTGACTTCCACAATTCAAGAACTGAGAGAAGACGCCCAAACATTGAACGCTAAGTTTGTTGAGCAGCAAGAAGAAACTCTAAAACAAGGCAATGAGTATCAGGTATAACAGCGTTTGAACCAGTGACTTCTCTTGCAGTAGTTGGTTTAGCTTGTCACGTAACCCCTTAGCGTCATATCAGGTCGGATCAGGAGTAGTGTTGCGTGACTACTAGGAGGGTCACGTGATGGACCAGGACGTTGTGTTGTTCACTTAATTAAGTGTAATGCTGATGACAGTAAGATTTTCGCGTGACACTTACGTGATTTTTT